TCGAGATCATTGGCTAGCCATGGAAAGAATTATGAGATATTTATCTGGTACCAAAAATTATGGTTTGTTTTATAACAAGTATCCTGCGGTACTTGAAGGATATAGTGATGCCGATTGGAACACTTTGTTAGGTGATTCTCTCTCTACCTCGGGTTTTATTTTTACCTTGGGTGGTGGTGCTATATGTTGGAAGTCTAAAAAATAGACTATAATTGCTAATTCTACAGTGGAAGCTGAGCTTATAACGTTAGCTTCAGCATGTGAGGAAGTGAATTGGTTGAGAGATTTGTTACATAAAATCCCTTTTTGGGAAAAACTAATTCTTTCTGTGTTAATTCATTGTGATAGCACTGCTACTGTTGGTAAAGTGAACAACCATTTTTATAATGGTAAATCTAGACCTATTCGAAGGAAACACAATAATGTAAGATCCTATTTGAGTAATAGCATCATAATTGTGAATTATGTAAAATCTTGTGATAATCTTGCGGATCCGTTAACCAAGGCCTTGGCGAGAGATAGGGTCTGGAATACATTGACAGTGATGGGTTTGAAGCCTATAAAATCATAAACCATGTATGAGGATACCCAACCTGGGGACTAAAGATCCTATAACTAGGTTCAATGAAAAGAACGAATCATATGGGGGTTGGAAAAAAATGCACTCCTTAATATTTTGTTATCTATTCCTATGATGTAAGTGCATTTGTCTTGTAATGTTGGAGGGTTAAGTTTTTATACTCTTAGGCCATGTTTGTTTGGGTGGACATGAGCTTGGGATTGGACTAATAGTCCAATAAAATTATTAATCCGATGTTTGGTTAAACAATTGAAGTAGGGACTAATTATTTTAAACTTGACTATTAGTTAAGATAGGATACATAATCCAACGAATTCGTAGTCCTAGGACTATTAGTCATGGGAATACTAATCCAGTCTGCCCAAACAAACATGGCCTTAGGGTGTATTTGTTTTGAAGGATTAGGGGGTGGGATTGGACTATTAGTCCCACCGGACTAATAGTCCATTGTTTGTTTCATTTTTTTTGCTCTCAACTAATAGTCCCCCCGGACTATTAGTCCCATAAATATGGGACTATCATATCCCATGGAGGGGGTGGGATAGAAACTATGAGATTGGTATCCCATGAGATTATTTTGTGAAATGTCCATTTTACCCTCTATGCTATTACTTAGCAAACAATTAAAAAATGATAAAATAGTCTTTTGAACATTTATAAATTATTTTTTTATTGTTGTTAATTTAAAATTATATATTAAATAAAAAATATAAATTATAAATTTAATTTAATTGAAAATAATAAATTAAAATAATTAAAATATTGTGCAAAAAATAAAATAAAATAAATTTTTATTTAATCTAGCTAAAAATAATTAAAATATTAAAGCTATGTTTAATATTGTTATTACTTAGTAAATAATTGAAAAGGATAAAACAGTCATTTGAGCAATTATCCTTCTCTATAATATCCCAAACAAACATTGGATAACTAAAAATAATCCAATCAAGACATCTAATCTCATAACTAAACAAAAATAGGATACAAATTTAGTCCAACCAAATAGTCCCGAGACAATGTAAGTCAGGACTAATAGTCCGATGGATTACAATCCTCCCTTATTCAGTCCGTCCAAACAAAAACACCCTTAATGAAATTCTATAGTTCTTGTTGAGTGGGGTGTGTAAATTACAGGAACATCCTTGACAGATTTTACCTCTGTGAGCATGAAAGTGGGGTTGCTTTCTATGAGAACATGACTTATTCTCAAATATGTTCATGAAAACTAGGACAGGCACAAGGCCATAAAGTGTTGGCTATTAAAAGCTCATGTCAACACCTGTATTATTATGTGTGAACAGTAATACTTTATTTCCTCTAAATAGTCATAGTTCAAGTCTGAGACCACTACTGACTCTAGAGTAGAGGTTGCTATTTTACTAATGAAGGTTCAATGCATAGCACACTTTCATGATGCATATCAGTCTATCTTTGTTTGGTAATCTTTCTTTTCCTTGTTGATATTAAAATGAGTGGAGGATTGTTGGGCTATTTTAATATCTTTAAGGAGATTAAGTCCACTGCGGTAGGAAGAACCCAAATACCGATGCAACAATCACTAAACTATGATTTGTCCCCTCCAAGATACAACTAGGCCCGGCCCTGAGGGTAGGCCGAAGAGGCCTGCGCCTTGGGCCCCCAGATTTGGGTTGAAAATAGGGCCCCAAAATATGATTTTATGTTTTAGATATATAAAAAAAATCCAAATACTATAAGCCTAATTGTATATGGGGCTAAAAAAAACAAAATATATCATGACAGATTAGAGGCCCAACTGACGTGGGCCCAAAAACAAGAAACACATTACATTTTATAATACCCACTGAGGCTAAGAACGTGGGTCACCGAAAGAAAATAAACATTAGAAAATTAGAAAATTTCTGGAAGTATATTAGAAAATTTCTGGAAGTATAAACATTAGAAATTTTCTGAAAATTAGAAAATTTGTTGATTTGTGATTATATAGAGTAGTCATGCCTCCTAGGAAGTATATTTTTGGATGTGAAAAAAGGAAAAAGAAGCAAAAATTAGAAAATTTTATTTAATCTCAATTGGGAGCGCTTGATAAATTTTTTTGGTAGCAAGAAACAAATAGAAAGTTCATGTTTGGTTGATGAAGAAGTTGTTGTAAGTAAATTTTTTTGTGACTACAAATAAATAAAAACGTTGTTGTAACTTATCACTTTATCCATCAACTTTTTTTTTTTTTAATGTAAGAAAGGCCCAATTTCCGAAGGTCGCCTTGGGCCCCTAAATCTCAGGGCCGACCCTGGATACAACACCCCGACCACTTGTCATATGGTTCAAGCCAATTCTGTATAAGATGGTGAACAGAAAGCTTCACAAAGAAAAAACATCCTTCTTTGGCTAGTAATCTCTCGAGTATAGAAAAACAGTTGGTGTAGAAAAGAGTAGATGAGAGGAACAATTTATAGGCCACTAGGACCTTACAAATTACACCAAAAAATTCATCAATAAAATATAATTCTTTTGGTATTTTTACCAACAATAGGCACAATTTCACATTCCTCAAATATATATATATATGTGTGTGTGTGTGTATGTGTGTGAAGTAGTTAGTCGTCTGGTAGGATATCCGGTCACTCTTATATAAACTGTGAACAATATATCACTACATGTACTGTAACAAAGCTTTCCTTCATTAAAAGACCAAATTTAAAATATATAAAAATATATGTATGATAAAAATAATCTCAATTAAAATTTCACTAGCCTTCTCTCCCATCACTTCACACTATTCTTGTAAATGGAAATAGTTAGAACAGTGAACCAAATCATACCCAAACTGAATCTTTTTTTTTTTTTTAAGTTTTGGCTTTTGTCCAATTCTATAGGTGTCAATAGTTTAGTCTAGTTCTCAAAATTCCAAAATCATTAGGATAATTTGAATATATTTTAGAATTCATTAAAATTTTAAATCAAATTCGAACAACTCACTGCTTAGCTTGGATCGATTATATGTACAATAAAAAATCAAATCAAATTGATATAAACCTAGTATAAACACATTTTAAAATTCGTTAAATTTTCAAATCAAGTTTAAATATGAAAGACTTACATATGACTCCTAATAGGTAGACCTATTATCCAATAAGACATATGATAATTAATGATATTTTTCATCAAATACTATTAAAAACCGTCACTAATTATTAATTTTTAGCACCGTGTATTTAACCCCAACAGTGCAAAAGAAGTCATTTCTACAAGAAAAATGCCATATTGACCAATTGCATTTACCATTTAACACATAACACTCCATAATGCGTGTGACTAGGGAAAAAAAAAAAAAAATGCACATACAATATGTGTGCGACTCAAAAAAAATATATATATATAATATAAGAATAATGACAATTAAAAAAAAAAAGGCTCATATAATGTTTTGCTCAAGTGACGAGTTTCATTATTAAGCACAAGGCTATGGGTTCGAAACCTGTCATGCTCTTTGCATACCTTTTACAAAAACTCTAAATAAAGGGGTATTTTGGAAAAGAAAATTGTGAGACAAAAAATGTCAACACCACCAACAACCTTCACTTTATATATTACTATATTAGAATAGATATATGTAAGACCTGTTGTATCAATGCTAGTGAAATTGTATCAAGGACGGTAAAATGTGCCACATCACATATGATAAATGCACATAGTCAAACCAAATGTAAGTATAGCATTGTCGATACATCCAATCAATCAAAAGAACAACATGCCTAGTTGTTTGCAACAAAATGCAGAGCAAAGATGATAATAGACTCCCAACTTGGCCAACTCCCAGCTACTTCACTGGACTTCTGTTAATCATCATTGCCTTCAAACAGTAGACCAGAAGAATTACAGAGATATTCACCCAAAAAAAGAATTACAGAGAATTCTTGATCCACTTTCAAACCCAAGCCCCTAAATCACAAGTCAGGAATGAACAATTCCAAATATCATAGCCCCATTAGTTGTTCAATACTGAGGTAATAGTCCATCTGTCGAACAAAATGAACGCCGCAAAGAATCACACTAGCACCGGCTATGCAGAAACAGCCTAGTGGACTGAGATGTCAACAACATAATGGTGTCTACAATCTGGTCATTTACATAGAAGAAGAAGAAGAACTGAGTATTAAGGGGTGAAGATTTTTTACAAAGAAACCTCACTGAGAATGGGGAAGATGACAAACAATATTAGTCTTAAATATGCTGGACAACCTAGCTGAAGGGGCAACAGGTTGCCCTCATAAAATCAACTTCCTAACACTTGGCATTACACTGTAGAAGTGCTCTTTCACCATGGGACAAAAGAAAAAGGGAAGACAGATATTGACCTAGCTTCAGCCAACACATGCATGCCTGTGCACACACACATAAACCCAAGCATGTGAGACTGAGGTAAACTCACACACAATTATATGGCCTGACCTACCATCAATTACCTTATAAAACGAAATTGTATGTGCGCACACGATAACCTTATGTATGACGGTTCAAACGCATAGAAGCTACATCTTATCATAAAGAAAATTATATAAAATAAAACATGACAGTAACATTACATATAACTACGTATAAGAATTAGGTTTTCCTGGGAGGGTCCGTGTGATGCAAATTGCTGCAGCAATTTCAAATATATGCCACCAGAAGTTTGAAACATCATACAGGCTAACTCATGCTCGATCAAGATGATATCTGTATTCAATGAAAATACTTCCGAAATCACAACTCAATGTATCCTTTATGTCCTCGGATCAAATTCTTAATAGCCCTGAAATTCTTCAATATGGGACCGATGAACTGCCCAACAATCTGCACCAGATGAAAAATTAACTCCAAACAAATGCCTCATAATTTGCTCATCTACAAATAAATATTATACAAAAGGAAATACACCTCTACTTGAAAAACCAACTTCATAAACAGATTTCCTCCACTGATATCAAGGATTGGAACAGGCTTCCATATGCAACAACATATAATAAGTTACAATGAGCACATATGGTTCTGAAGTAACTAACTATAGATTCAAGTACTTAACGCTATAGTCATTAACAAAGAATTATGTAATATGCAGCAACTTGACTTAGACATGCCCTTAATTGCAATTTAAATCATGAAAGTGTCGGCCCTCCCTTTAGGCCATTTAGGTGTTTGCCTAAGACCTCCAACTTTCCTATGGCCCCAAAATTTTACCCTCTTCGATCTTTGTCCAAAGGCATGCTTAAAGCCTGTTTGGCAAAACTTATTTACTGCTCAAAAAGAAGCTAGCTTAGAAATAGCATCTCAAAACAACAGATTGAGCAAAATAATAATAATAATAATAATAATAATAATAATAATAATAAGTGTTTGGTTTTAGTTTTCTAGAAATTGAGATTTTTGTTTTTCGTGTTTTTTTGTTTTTAGTGAATATTTTTAAAATTTTAATTTTTTTTTTTAAACTTTTTAAATGCACCTTACTTAGATGTATCTAAATAGTAAAATATTTGTGAAAAAATATTTTAAAAAATTAACAAAATACACAAAAATACAAAAAATGTACTGAATTTTCGTATTTTTTTTAATGTATTTTTAGTATTTAGTGAATTTTTTTTTAAAAAAAAAATCACAAATATTATACTTTTTAAGTGTATTTATGTTATGTGTGTCTAAAAATTAAAAAAAAAAAAAACGCTTAAGCTCAAAGAGAGTGAAATCAAACAATGAAAATAAAAAAAATACAGAAAACGACAAAAGTAAAATTTTTTGAAAAGTTAATTCTAAAAACTGAAATCAAACAGAGTGAATAAAACTCAAAATAAGCTCAAAGAGCTAACATATTCAAGTATATTATTAATAAATGGAATTTTAAATTTTAAGCTAAATAAATTGCAAATAAGTTTTGCCAAACGAGACCTTAGTATAGTCTGGGACATGTTATCAAGCTCCAAAGCCAAAACAGAAGTTAGATTTTAGACAGAACTCACTCTGGAGTCAGAATATAACAAGGCCAGCACAACAAAGCACAAGTAAATACATTTTTATTTTATTTTCCTACTTTTCAACTAGTGCTGTATATAATTATTTTCTACATTAATCTTTTAGTTTGCATTAACTACTTGGATGAGATTATAACTTGTAACCTAAGTAGCTGTTATTTGTTGCAAGATTGAAACTAGAGATGCCGCTGTCGCTCAATACCTCCAGGACAACATCATCTCCGGAAAGGCCAAGTTCGACAACGTCAATTCCCGCTTTTCAGACAGCAGCTCTGCCAAGTGTGTCGGCGATTATGTAGTTGATGATTGACCCGTTAGTATTGATTTGGGTAAGGAGACATGGATTCCTCATTGCTAGGGTTTGAGATTGCTTTGTATTCGGGACTTCATTTGTATGGTTTGCTTGCTGAACAGAGGATGCTCGGCATCTTAAAATCCTAGAAAATGCTTAAGGAGAGAGAGATATTGTTGATGATTGACTCGGTAGTATTAATTTGGGTAAAGAGACATGGATTCCTCATTGCTAGGGTTTGAGATTGCTTTGTATTCAGGACTTCATTTGTATGGTTCGCTTGCTGAACAGAGGATGCTCAGCATGGGAGAGAGAGAGAGCAAATCAGCGAAGGTGTTCTTCAATGAATTTCATGACCAATTGGCCATTACGGATGCTCAACTCTCTACCAACAAGAGGCCGAATGTGCTTCCCCGCCGGTCTACACGTCTTTGGGGACACCCAAAGGGTTAAACGGATTTAGAGTCAGATGCTAGCACAACAAATCTGAGTGGTTTTGTATGGGAATCCTGGAGCTTCACATTTGGGAGTGACCAAGGGGAGTAGCGATATGGAGATCTCAACTGAGCAATTGTCAAAGAAGTAGGACATTGGAGCTACTCAGATATCCAATGTCTAGAACACACCAAATAGAGTGCTAATTGACCTTGAGCAGTGGCCAAATTTGGCCATTGTGTGTATCTAGTGAAATGGTGAAGTCAAGAAGTAAATCTAGCTAAGTGCTGATAATCTAAGGGGAGATGTAATGGGCACCGGGCAACAGAAAGATGATGAAAATGTGGGAGCTTGTAGACATGGAGCTTCAGTTAAATTAGATATGACAAGCACACAATCTGGCAGAGGGCATTGTATTGATAGTGATACACTAGCTATGTCGGTTAAGTCTCCACAATCTTGGAGTTCTTTAGTTAAAGATGAGATTAACAAGGTATCAAAAGCCAAGTTCACAATTAACACTTATAATATTGAGAACCTAGTAGATGGCATGTATAATGTGCCTATAGAGCTCTTAAAAAGGCTTTTTCCACCGGAAAAATGCCTTAGTTGGAGATTTTATAACTCGTGATTAAACCGGACCAACCCATCACATCCAATCTCCAAACTAAGGAAAAACATTTTGACATGGTGAAAACTTCTAAAACCTAGAGACACATATAGAGCTTGTTAGGTAAAATATATTTGCAGTTTTAAAAAACAAACTTAAGAAAAAGATCTCGATTGTAGTTTCAAAATAGTTAATTTTTTGAGTTTATTTTGAGTTTTTAAGTTGAAATAACAAATAAGTTAAAAACTTTTTAAAATATTATCAACTTAAAAAATTATTATAAATTGCACTGATCTCTCCTTCTTTTAGTAAGACATTCTCTAACTAGGGACTTAAGTTTTTCTTAACAAGCAAACTTTAGTAATCTACTTCAATACCCTTAAGACTATGTTTCTCTTTCAGCCATTCTCAAAGCTCAAGCTTAGAGCATCTCCAATAGTGTTAGAATTATTGGAGATATTCAACCTAAAATTAATTGATATCAGGAAAAAGACTCTTTAGATTAGATTAACCAAGTCATGGCTAAAATCACCTTTGGCCATCACCTCTTGTGATAGCCAACCAACTCGACAATGAAAATTTACAATCCACTCATTGTAAAGAGCACTTTGGAAAATTGTAAGAACAATGCATTAGCCCCCATAAAATGTCACGCACACAAGCTCTTGGTAAGGAGTTTCCCGCAAGGGCACCACGGTTAATTCAAGGGTTTTCTCCCAAGGAATTGTTAGCACCAAAGAGGTTTTGATCCCTAAACTTTGGAGGGAGCACACCCTCAAGACCCAAGGCCTTGCTACTAGTGCCAATAAAAAAAAAAAAAAAAAAATTGTATCTATTATCAAAAAAAAAAAAATTGTATCTAATAGCCTTATAGGTGCAAAATGAATAGTAGCATTTGGGGATGCAAGAATTGCTCCAGCAAGATTACTTTCGTTATTGATAAATTGCATTCGTTCTTTCTTTGAATTAGTCTCGAAAATAGAAAGATTTCTTTACAACTAGAGCTAAGCCCTCTGTAAAGCACTGCCCTTGCCATGATTCTCTTATCTGGAATCGACCTCTTTTTCGCATGTCTGCTCTTTGTTGTCTTTTTTGGTGAATTGCTTTCATTGCTTCTTTCAATATCTCCCCCACCGTCCTAGAATCTCTCTGAAATGGTCTATTGGGGGTTAATTCTAGTGAATATGAGTCATCGGGAGAATCTGCATCTCCTATTTCTTCCCCACTCTCTTGCCATTAGCTAGGTTTTAGTGTTTTCAAATATTCTAAGTCTAATGCTAAGGGCCTTGGTTCAAAAACATCATCCACAACTACATTTGTAGTTTTTTTTATCTACCCCAGCCACCTCTCAAGGGTACCTCTGCTTCCCAACTAAGCAGAATGGAGTAAATTCAGTTGAGGACCCGAGAGCAAATTCAGTTGCTTGTTTAATTAATGCCTTCAGGGAATTTGTCCTTGTTTTTATCATCGGTATCGGCTTACAAAATTTCCTTCAAAATGTACCTTTCTTTCCTTGTCTACCATTCTACCTATGTGCCTATCCCTTGATTCTAGATATGTGATGCCCATCCATCTAGTCCTTTTTTACCATTGCTGACCATTATTGGTTTTTGTTGTTTAGTATGATCTCCTTGCATGCCTTGTGCAGTCATATGTTCACCTTCACAGTCAACAACATTGGCTATTGGTCATCCATCCAATTTTATGCAAATCTATCCAATTTGAAAGTGGATAGATATATCCAACCTAGTAGATGGCATGCATAATGTATCTATTGAGATATCTCAAAAAGGCTTTTCCCACTGAAAAAACTACTTTGTTGGATACGTCATTGATAAAAGATTCTCATTCCATTATGTAAGACTTGGGCAAAGAAGCTTTGAAAAAATTCTCTTGAGGATGTTGCCTCCATTGATAATGGTTTCTTCTTTTTAAAAATAAAAAGTGAAGAGGCTATGGACAAAATTTTGGGAGATGATCCCTATTACAATGGTGCTACATTGATTGTTGTTAAAAAATGGCAGTATGTGGTGAAGTTGTACAATGTTCCTTTGGAGCTTTAGACTGAAGATGCCTTGGGTTACATTGCTACCATCGTTTGAACGTCTCTCTATTTGGATAATTCGGCTTTCAACAAAAGCAAGACTTACTTTTGTGAGAGTATTTATTTTGGAGTGCCATCAAATATAGAAATTCCCAAGTCTTTCAAAACAAATCTAGGTTATTGTGATCCGTATGAGATTAGAGTTGAGGCTCCATAGAAACCTCTCAAGTGTGATGTTTGTAAGGCATTTGGTCATACCACTAATTTGTGCCCTCATAAACCAAAGACATTGAATCCTCCCTCTTACAAACAAGAGTGAAGAGTCAAAAAGACTAAAACATAAAATCCAACAAAGTAGGAAATGGTGAAGAAGAAAAAGGAAAAAGATCATGTGCAAGTTTCAGTAATAGAGATAAACGGCGAGAGATGGACAAGGTGCTCTGCCCCTTCTATATTCAATGTCTTTGAAATCCTCAAATCTTGTGGAATGGTGAATCAAGTTCTAATCAAGAGTTGCCATGCCAAATGAATGAATAAGTAAATGATAGAGGGAGCCTATCTCCAAGTGAAATGGTTGAGAAGGTTGTTACCGCCAATAATGGGGAGGCTACTAAGGAGGAAGATAGAAAAAAAAAAAAAACTCAAAAGAGAAACTTCATAACCTGAGAAGTGCTAGTGATGAAGTTTGAATCCTTCTTTTATAACCTAGGCTCTAGAGTATGTTTTTATTTCCTCTCTAGGCTAGGTTTTTGTGTTCCTTGGTAGGAGTAGTTGGTCCTTTGACTGTGCTTTTGCTCCCTTTGGGATGTGTGCTGAGCTTCATTGTATATTTTTCTTTTTTTGATTACAAAATACTTAGCAAAAAAAACCCTACTAGGATGATTTCTGTTTGTCAATGGAGAGCCCCTACATTTCCCTATATGAAAATTACAAAGAAAGAAAAAAGTGGGCTTTTTATATATCACAAAAAGACAAAAGAAAAAAGCAGGCTATACTTCCAAAGCACTTGATGGACTAAGCACAAGGAATAGCTGGTCACAAAGTCTAGTCAATATTGATAGCCCCCCACCACCAAAAAAATAAAAAATAAAAACCCACTCAAAAACACATGCACTGATGTGTGTAAACCTATGAAGTACGGGTACTTCGAAAATGTTGCCATACTCGTACCGGGTACTTATCGGGTACTGGTACTTGTACCGATAGGGTTGCATGCGTACCGGATACTTGAAATGCATACCAGATATTTTTTATACATTCTTTGGCAGTTGGATACTCCATGGGTACTTCATGGGTACGAGATTGGTACATTGAGAGTACACTATGTTATGGAACATTAGCGGAGATGTGTTTAATTTATTAGAGTTCTGATTTACTTGAAATTGCAGATTCTTTATTTGATGTGCCAAAGATAAAAGACGTATTATTCAATGACGAAGTTGATAGAAGTGAAAACTGAAGTTTCAAGTTTTCAAATTTCACTTCGCTTGCTTTTGGAATGAAATTTTATTTTATAATTTCTCCTATTTAATGGCATTAAAATAACTTATAGACTTTGCTTTGATATTGATATTATTGAACTATGATTTCTCTTTTGAATTTGTAATTTCTCTTATTAGTTTTGCTATTGAACTTTCATTTGTAGATTGAATCTCAAACTATAAATTACAAAAAATAAAAAAAAAATTATTGGCGTACCCCAACCGTAGCCGTATCTTCTTTTTTTTTTAGGCTTTGCTGTATTGGCGTACCCATATCGTACCCATACCAATATCCGTACCCGCACCTGTGCTTCACAGGTGTACACTATTGCATATCAAAATCATTAAGCACCATTACATTCTTCAGAAACTAATTAAACATAAACTAGAAAGTCTATCATAAATTTCAAACACAATTCATTTCTACAAGATACTTGTAGTTTCTCCTTTCCAAGTAATAATCATTCTTGTAACTGTGCTAGACAAAAGTTATTTGGTAACACAGTTCCCAGGCTACAGCAGAGCAAGTGCTTGAGTGATTAAAAGTGATGTTTTTGGAGCATTGCTTTAAATGATTGAAATAATACACACACATGCAGAGTTCAGACAAATATAACATTTAACCAACTGTAATAAGATCAACAATTTGATTAAGAACTTCAAACCACATGCATACACGGCTGCAGCCAGTGGAAATTGCTATCGGTATGACACTTTTATTGTTTCATTTATTTATTGATTACTGGCATCACCATACATAAATCAAAAACTAGTGCAGAATTATTCTCAAACAAAATCTATAAGCTCTCCGCAAGATTCAAGTTTATCCCAGAAACACTTGTCAATCTATGTAACTAAGTCAACAAATAATCCAGAGTATACATAAAATGCCTGACTTGAAACTGTCAAGAAAACATATAAAAGTATGAAAGGAAACATATGTGGACCTTGGATCAAGTCATCAGGTCACCATCTCAAACTGTTTCAGTGAGTCACAATGTGGTGTTTCTCGTTCCAAGCCCCATTGGAAACGCCGTAGCTCAAGCTGACAATTGTGTGCAAGAACCGAAACATAATCTTTCTCCACCAGTCCATCAAACCTCACGCGTTCAGGGCTATTAGGAGGGTAATCCTGCTCAAACCTTGTTGACTTCACATAAAAATTAACACCCTTTTGCGTAGAAAGCCGATGTTCATAAGGATACGATCGGTAAAGTGCATACATGGGATCAGATGATGGCATAAAGTTGAAGAGCAGAATCAAAAGCACAGGCACTAACTGAATTAAAGTCCTAACCCATCCAGAAGACCCATTGTTGCCCATTCTCACACCCATCCCTGGACCAAAGCTAAAGGTACCGAATTGCGCAGACGTAACAGGATGCATTCCGCCAAAGAAATTCCTAAATATCTCCTCAGCATCAATGTCAGCTTCATATAACCCATTAAACCCTTGTCCCGGACGCCTCGGGGCTCGTCTTTCGTACACCGGTTCATCTGACCCAACAAGATCATACTTTTTCCTACTCTCCTTATCACTCAAACACTGAAACGCCTTCGAAACAGACTTGAAGGCTTCCTCGGCACCCGGAGCAGTGTTCTTATCGGGATGAACCTTCAATGAAAGTTTTCGATAGGCCTTGCGAACATCATCAACAGTGCAACCCTTCGCTAGCCCCAATATCTCATAGTAATCCTTTTTCCTCTTAATCTCTCTCACAATCGAGATCTGTTCCTCAGTATAGGCCACCGAGGTAGTCGAAGCCGATGGTGAAGGCCCAGGTGCCGAAACCCTACTCCGAGCACCGGAATTGGTGTTATTGGTGTTATCCGAAACCTTTGATGAAGCTGATTGGTTGGTGGGTCCATCGCCAGAGGGATTCTGAAGCTTGGAGAGGAGAAGATCGACGGAGAGAGACGGATCGAGACGACGAGCTTTGGCGATGAATTTGGAGGCACGGGTTCGATCACCGGCTTCGATAGCATCGCGGCCGATCTTCAAGCATTTCAATGCCTCGTCTTTGTTTCCTTCCATCTCAAAACAAACCCTAAAACTGAACTTGAAAAACTAACAATATCAATGTGTGTGTGTATATAATGATGGATTGGGGAGGGAATTTATGGGTTTGTGAATTGGGGAATTGAAAGTTAGGATGGAATGGGATTGGAAATCAGAGTTTTGGGTGGGTTGAAATCTAATTAGGGTTTGGGAGGGTGGGATTGGATTGGATTGGATTGGATTGGATTGGAATGAATTGGAATTGGATGGGATGTAAGGTTGATTCTAGATAGAGTCCCTCCCAGAAGAAGAGCCAATAGAAGATAGGACTCCAGACTGGTGGGGGCGTGAGAATTGTCGCAGGAAAAGTCCTCTATGGTTTTTGTCCAAACTGGTGGTGGTGTGAGAATTGTCGCTGGCAAAGCTCTCTCTCTCTCTCTCTCTCTCTCTCTCTAGTTTTTGTTTTTTTTTAATTTGGAAGGATTATAAGTAACTGTGATTTAAAATGATTTAAATAAATATATTTTTTGAATTTTTATAAAATATGTATTAAGTTTGAAGTGATATAGTAGAGAGATGATATCACTTAAATAGAATATTAATTTTTTTGACTTTTTTAGAATATGTCAAATAAGGCCTAAATCATTAGATAAAAATAAAAATAATTATATAATATAGTAAAAAAAACATTATTGTTTATTTATTTATTTATTTTTGATCGGAAAAATATTAGTTCTTAGATTAGTATCTATAAGAGAAAATCACCTCACCTTTGGCAAAGGGCTATTTTAAAAAGATACTTATAATCAGTTTTTTTGGTTAAAAGCTGACAAAAAGCTAATCAGCTTTTTGTGAAAGAGGGAAGTGAGTTATAATCTGGGAAGTGGATTATAACCACTTCCCAAAAGATCTCAAAGCACTTCAATACTTGCACTCCCTTAATTCAACTCCCGTTAAAGGAATTGAATTCATGACCTCCTTGAGAAATATTATAACACACACCCTTAAAATGGTGCGCACTAGGTGTGCCTTACAACTAAAAAGAAAAATAATATAATTTTAATTTTTTGAGTTGTAACAAAAAATATATATATATATATAACTAAACATAAAATGAGATATAATTAAAAAACTCATGAGTCATAACTAAAATAATATCATAATTAAATAATAAAATTAGTCATAACTAAAGAACAAAATGACATAACTAGAGATATAATACACCCTTTTTAAGGATATGGAGATCCTGCTGTGCCTTTTGGCACAACAGGCTGCTATGCTCTCTTGTGGATTGTCGTCCCGAGTCTCTTTCGATAATGTGAACCGTTTATATTGTAGGGTTGGTCGAGTAGATCATCCATGTAAAAAAATCAAGTTGATTGGATATCTACAGCCTTATAACCAAAGCACATTTGTTTTTATAAAAATTAACAGTTAACATAACTTTCATAAATTTTTAAAAATGATTAAGACCTAATTATGGGGTTATGAATATCCGATTAACTTTTTTTTTACATGAATAATATTCTTGATGAACCTTACAGTATGAATAGTTCAGAAAATCAAAAAATATTTGGGGCGAACTCCCACAAAGGGGCACAGCAAGCTGCTGTGCCTTGAAGGTTTTAAAGGAGTGTATATTAGAATTTCTCTTTTGAATTTTATATCACTTAAAATACACATGTCATCCTACAATTGATTTAGAATCTAATTTAATCAAATTAAGGCTATGTTTGGCATGGCCTGCTTTGGCTATTTTAGCCACAAACAAACAAAATAGATTAAAAAGTTAATAAGATAAAATGTCACATCCAAACCATAATTATTTCATTTTTTCTTTAAAAAAAGTCAAAAAGCCAAAAAGCTCATCCCAAACGAGACTTTTTAGTCTCGGGCTAAAATAGCCAAAAAATTAAAAATTTAAAAAGCCAACCCACATCACAAACGAAGGCTAAATTAATTTTTAAAATTTTCTTAATTGATGTCAATAATATATATATATATATATAGCTATGGAATGACGTTAATTTAATTCCATACTGGGGTCTTGTTTATGAATAGACTATTTTAATAATTTTTTGACTTTTTACAAAAAGATATATTGAAAAGTAGAGAGTTATGTGATAACTTTTAATGACTTTTTGATTTTTTTGACTAAAATTGAAAGTTACCAAATGAGGAGCATCAATATTTATGGAATGATATTTACTTTAATGAAAAGATTTTCATAATATAATTTCATGATATAATAATATAGATACAAATTCCATAATATCTATACTATTATAAACAAAAACATTATGACCTCTTTAAAGTTAGAAATGACAATCTATTTTTCTCCAATTTTGTTAATTGTATAACACTCAAAATACAAGTCCTTTTTTAATTGGTCCAAAATCTAATTTACATAAATTAAATTAATAGTATCAACAGTTATAGAATGATATTTGTTTCAATCAAAAGATTTTCGTAATATAATTCTATGATATAATAATATAGATACATTGCTTGCATATTTGAGCATGAGATATTTTGTAATTAATATCCATAGATCCACCATTAGCAGTACTTAGAGATTGAGCAGTTTTTTCAAAATATTTAAAAGGCACAAGACCTTCTCGAATACAATTGAGATGAGCATTGGAATCGACAAGTGCCATAGTGGTCAAAATAAAATCATGTATGACGACTTTGATATCTACATACCAATTTTGAAGTGTGATGCTATTTAGAAGTAAATCAATAGAATCATTAATAACTAATGGTTATTTTGTGGAGTTCTTGTCGGATGATTCTTGGAGACGTGGTTCATACGGAAACGACATATTAGCAAGAAAATCATTAGTATCACCAGGATTTTCTTCTAAAACAAGGACATGAGATTGTAGATTTTGAACATCAATTTTGAGATTGCAAATCTCATTTTATAAATCTTGGATTGTTGGTGTATTTAATGGAGTAGGAACTTTATTAACTTGATTGAAACATCTTTAAAATCATATGTATCTTATTTTAATTCTTGAGTAGTAATTGTGGTTGGAGCATTTCTTTATTTAGAATTAGAATATTTAAACATAGCTTGTTTCTTTTCTAGGTCATCAATACTATCAATAAATTCAAGAATCATTTTTTCCTGTGTCATGAGAACATTAATACTTAGACCATTCATTTCTAAGATAGCTTTATAATAATCAGTTGTTGATTGGCATAGGCAATCGTGATATTCTTCAGGATGGTTTTCTGGTTCTTTATCAGAGGAAATAATAATATCATTATCAATTTTATTAAGTTGAAATTCATTATCAGAAGGATTGTCAGAGGAATATTCAGATTCGGACTGGGGTTCTTTATTAAGAAAAAGAATGTATTCTAATTGGTTTTTGAGTTCATCTGAGACATCAAGTTCATGAATTTTCTTTTTAGTAAGACATTTATTTGCATAGTGGCCAGGTTTGCCACACTTCCAACAATTAGTAGATTTCTTAGAAGAGCATGGTTTGGGCTTAGATGTGGATGTATTTTTGGTGTTAAGAAATTTTCTCTTTTTGTAGTAAGGTTTCTTTTTGTAGTTTGAAGATTTGTTGTAATATTTTTTAGGGCGAGATTTGCGAATAGGGGTTCTTCGGGAAGAAGATCCACATACTGGAGGGAGGATGGAATTGTATCCAAACTGATATCAGAATTGACCGAGTTCAGTTCGGCCAGTAGAGCATTCCTTTTTCAATTGATTATTGAGTTTTATATCATTGTATAATGATAAACCTGTCGGACAATCTTCACTGTATTTAAAAGATTTAATTCTATTGTGTACAAAACAACAACTGGAATTTAAAGAAATAAAGAAAATGAGAGAATTTGTTTGATTACAAAAATCAAACTCAAAATAAAAATAAATAAATAAAAACAGATTTTATTTTGTTACAAAAACAAAATTAAAATCTGATTAAATAAACAAAATTAAAATCGGAATAAAAATTAAACAACTTACTTGGTTAATTTCTTTTGACTAACTATCTGATCAAGTCCAGTGTTTTACACTGTGTTCTTAAGACAAATTCGTCCTTTCCACGGTGCTTTCAGAATTTGGACGTTTATCTCCCAGGATGAAATGATCTACCACAAACAATAGCAGCACTACAAATTGTTTGTCTTACGAACACACTACTCTTTCTTTCAGAAATAAAATGCAACAAAATGAAGAATAGAATAAGCAAAGGTGAAATACGAAATTTCTGAATGAATAACATCAAATGAGGGTGGTCCTATTTATAGATGTAAAGGTGGCTCTTGGTTTTAAATTGAATAGGTATGATACCTGTTGGTTTTGAATTCAAACAGATTTGAATCTGTTAATAATTCAAACAGATAGCAAAAAACGGGAAGGGCCCTGTTTGGGTGTGCACTAATTCCAAACTAAAAATTAAACTAGTTTATTCCAAACTAGTTTATTTTTTATCCCCTTGGGGCACACCCCAAGTACCAAACCCATGCCTTATAAACCCTTTCAAAACTTCCCACCAAATCAATGTGGGACAAGCCAATTTACAACCTTAAGGAATTTCCACCAAAACTCCATTTCCATGGCGCACACTTTGGCTTCAATTTCCCATTCACTCGGTAATGGTTTTGAGCAACCAAATATACAACGTGAATCACAACGCCGCATAGAACGCGTTACCACTTTGACCCGTGTAAATCGATGCACAGGGCCCACCTAAAAAATAGACCAAACTTGAGAAAAAAATTTTGATTTTACTCAGAATTTTTTTACCATTTCCAACAAAACCTTCAGCATAGATTTCAAATACGAGTTCATCAAAATGTTTATTGATTATAAGGAATTTGAAGTTAGAAATGACAATCTATTTTTCTCATATTTTGTCAGTTGTATGACACTCAAAATACAAGTCCTTCTTTAATTGGTCCAAAATCAAATTTACATAAATTAAATTAATAGTATCAACAGGTATAGAATGATATTTGCTTCAATCAAAAGATTTTCATAATATTACTCTATGGTATAATAATATAGATAATTTAAAAACATTATGACTTCTTTGAAGTTAGAAATCGCAATCTATTTTTCTCATATTTTGTAAATTGTATAACACTTAAAATACACATCATTTTTTAATCGGTCCAAAATATAATTTACATAAATTAAATTAATAATATAAACATAATGATATTTGCTTTAATCAAAAGATTTTCATAATATAATTCCATAATATAATAATATAGATACAAATTTCATAATATCTATACTATAATATAAATAAAAACATGATGACCTCTTTGAAGCTAGAAATGAATCTATTTTCTCATATTTTGTAAATTGTATAACACTCAAGATACACAACATTTTTTAATTGGTCCAAAATCTAATTTACATAAATTAAATTAATTTTCAAATTCTCTTAATCATTGTCAAAT